GGGATTGGCTCAGCATTACCTCGGGGGTAGATCTGCAGAGGTTCTGTCAATTGTCCATTCACCTGCTGCTCCATCACAGTGGAGTAATACTGCAAAAAAATTAAAAATTAAATTATTTTGGGGGATTGTTTCATTCAATAATCCAAGAGTGATAAAAGCATTTTTGGATTGTTTAATTGAATAATCCAGGAGTGGGAAAAATACCAATGGATTATTTAATTCAGTAATCCAGGAGGGATAAAAGCACTTTTATTTAATTCAATAATCCAGGGGGGATAAAAGCATTTTTGGATTGTTTAATTCAATATTCCAGGAGTGATAAAAGCATTTTTGGATTATTTAATTCAATAATCCAGGAGGGATAAAAGCATTTTTGGATTATTTAATTCAATAACCCAGGGGGGATAAAATCACTTTTATTTAATTCAATATTCCAGGAGTGATAAAAATACTTTTGAATTATTTAATTCAATAATCCAGGGGGGATAAAAGCATTTTTGGATTGTTTAATTCAATAATCCAGGAGTGATAAAAGCATTTTTGGATTATTTAATTCAATAATCCAGGAGTGATAAAAATACTTTTGAATTATTTAATTCAATAATCCAGGGGGGATAAAAGCATTTTTGGATTATTTAATTCAATAATCCAGGAGGGATAAAAGCATTTTTGGATTATTTAATTCAATAATCCAGGGGGGATAAAAGCATTTTTGGATTATTTAATTCAGGGTGGTTTCATTTTCTTTGTCCCTGCCCTGGGATGGTTCCCACAAAAACGGGGAGAGAGGAATTTAATTTAATTTAATTTAATTTAATTAATTTTAACATTAATCTGCCCCTGGCTCTCGTGCAGGCTGGGAAAATGGGGAAAAAAATGAAAATTATTTATTTAGAGAATTATTTGGGAAAGAATTCCCATGGCCAGGATGGAATTTGGGGATGGAGGAACCTGGGATGGTAAAATTTGTCCCCCACGTCCCTTTTTGAATTTCTGATCGTTCCCTTGGAATAATAATAATAATAATAAAAATAAAAAAATAAAATAAATTTAATAGAGGTGAGGCCCTGTCCATTACTCAGCAGTGATGACAAATAAATGAAATATCAATCATGGGAGCTGTCAACCTTTTGGGACAGCAATAACTGTTAACAAGTAAAGTGGGG